GATCCTTTTGGTGTGTTCTGGGTTTGAGGAAGTTTGCTTCTGGTGATGAGGTTGGTGAGGTTCGGTGCTTGTTTGAAGGCTAGGATGGGTGGCTCTGGGAAGATCTTTTTAAGAATAGGGTCTCTTTCTAATATAGGTTGCAATTTTTTGAGGATTTTCCGTAATTTATGGAAGGTGCTTTCAGAAACAGGGAAGGGCAGAGAGGAGCTGCTGCCTGCAGTTATCACAGACACATTCAGATCAGCAGAGATAGCCATACCGAGCAATGTTTAGAGAAGGGGCTTCTTTCACAATGAGGGGTTTGTTTCCTCTAGGGCTAAAGATTACATGGCATAGGAGAGAGTTCTGAAGGAGGCAACTGAGAAGAAGAGGACAGAGTTCAGCCTGTTGACATCTTCATCCAGGTCCACAAAATGAGCCAGGATGTTGTTTCTTGAGAACTAGGCATTTATACTTATTTGTATCCCAGCTCATATCCAGGCTTACATACTCTGCAGAAAACTGGGCTTTGTTTCTGCAGCAAACCAGATTTTTTGCATTAACTGTACAAGTAGTAAAATGCTGGCTTTGTTATTTATTTTGATAATTCCATTTTACTCTATTCCCACACTCTTAGGCTCCAGTGTACTTTTTTCTATAGACATGGCTACCCAGGTCAGGTCAGGTCAGGTAGGTCCCAAGGCTGCTGAGACTGTTGGGGCACCTTAGATGCTGTAGCAACCCGCTCTACTCTGATGATGTTAGTTGAGTTGTTTTGCATCACTGCTGATTCTTTGGGCAGAGTAACCTGGTGGCACCCATCTCCTCTTCAGGTATGGATGACCGTTGGATTGCAGGGAGTTCACCGGTCTTATTTTTTTAAGTCCTGCTGGGTGTCCACACGCCCTCCTCACCCAGGCAAGCCCCAGGTTGGGGTGCTGGTGTAGTTGGTGACAACCCAACCGTGGAACAGGCTGTACTGGTTTGCATGGTACCAGATAGCAGACCAAGAGAGGCCTGGCCTGACAGGGACATGGCTACCTACGTCATTATATTTTCTAGAAGGAAAACTGGGAGATTTGGCAGGTGGTAAAGCATGGGAGGCAGTTTGGAATTGTACAATAAGTGCATTAGCTGGATGTTTGGGCTACAGGATCACCAGTGAAACTGCTGACATTAATATTGGAAATATTATATCTAAGTTACAAAGCAAACTACCCAAACAAGACAAATGGGGCAGTTTGCTCCTCTATTATTTCAGGCAGACACAGGCAGAAATCACTGCATCAGTGACACTTGGGTCACATTTTCAAGGTTTTCTCAACAACCATAAAAGCCAGAAACATAATTCTTTTAAAATGAAAGCTCAGATGTTGGAGTGCAATTCAGCTGCAAATTTCTTAGCTGCAGCATCACAGAATAGAGTGCCATAGCAATGGTACTAGCTCATCTAAACTAGTAGTGTATGTGCTCTGCAAAGACTTCTGAAGCACTGGAAAAAGAATTGGGTTATTCCCTGAGATACTAGCCCCTTGAGAAACCCTTTTGGATTAAGCAATCACTGACTGGGGAAGTAAGATTTGAGAAGACAGGTCCATAGGACTTACTAGGAGTCTTCCCTTTGAGACATTCCACATCAGTTGATGGAGTTTACTGTTCAGCTAATTTTGAGGCCTCAATTTGCCCTCTCTGAACAAAGGGTATTTTGTACAAGATAGAAAAATAAATGAAAAGACTGTTCCAGCCCTTCAAAGGCCAAACTCAAAATAGCAGCGCTCCCTTGAGTCAAAGCAATGGGGTTCTGAGGTCTCCTCTCAACCCAGTTTCTAGGTAACCTTCATTTTCAACTCAGCTCCATTCAGCATAGCCTTTTATTACCATCTTGGGAGAAGTTAATTCCCTTCCTAGCTGACCCCAGGCTGCAGCTGTTCTCTGTCTTGCTAGATGGTTAGCCTTTTCCCTGACAATTCTTAGAGAAGGTTCATGTAGTACATTAACTCTCCACTCAGCTCTTGTGGTCTTTGGGACTGGCACTCACCTGTAGGGTTTGTGCTGGGCTCACAGGATGCAGCACTGTTAAGGCTGTTCTGGAATCCATTCAGATGCCCTTCTGTAGAGGTCACCCTAACAAGCAAAAGCAGTTGATTAGACCGTGCTAAGCATGGAAGTTACCAGGCCAGAGCAAAGCTGCCTGGAGGGTTACTAGGTTGTACAGCCTTATTGGTGCTCAGAAATGGTAGCCAAAAAACCATGCCTGAATGTGACAAGAACTGAGCAATGCTAGCAGACAGCTCCAAGAAGGCAGAGAGACCAGAGCCTCCTAGCACCTGCAAGAGGTTACTATGGGTGACATGCAGCTGCTCATCCTGGGCGCCCCTAAGGCTGACTGACGGAAGAAAGAGTTGAGATGTTAAAAAAGCAGCATGTAGTTCTAAGCTGCCAAGCTGCTTTGAAGAACACACAGTAGTTCTGTGGGTTTCCTAATATTCAGCGACCAGAAGCAAAAGGGAACATCTTTGGAGGGGCAGGTAGGGGACCAACAGTGAACATTACATTCAGAGCTAAGCTCAGGATCTTACATCCTAAACCCAGTAGAAGCAGCTCACAAGTGCAATGAGCTGGTAGTTCTCTTCAGCCTTGGAATCCAAGATCTAGCAAAAGCATCCAGTCCCTACTAGGCCAGTGAAAGGCATAAGGTAAATTCCTCTGCAGGCCCTGCTGCAAAGGATTTGGGAAACAAAGTGTCAGATCCAGATTGGTCCAGTAGGAACCTAAATGGAACTTAAACAGAACATAGCTGCCCAAGTCAAAAAAAATCTACATGTGCTGAAGTGAGCTAGTCTGAGCACCCAGAGAGAAATTAGCTGCCTCTCTCTCATGAAAATAGATTAACTCACTGTGAGGAGTCAAATCAGATGATGATCATAACAATCCATTTTGGCCTTGAGATTTATTAATTTATTCTCTGCTCACTCTCAGGCCTTCTGTCTCTTGATTCAACATCTGGGCCTTCCTGCCTCTGTTTCTGATTGCTCCAGAATTCCCCGTTCACACTCTCTTGGCTGCAATCCTGTCTCTCCCTCCACCCACCCTGCTCCATCGCACTGGTTGAGAGCTACTTCCAGCTCTGCCCAATGAAAGCGTTGTAGCCTCCAATCCCCATATGATGCCCTGATGACTAACAGATGCAGGCACACGTGCAGTTTCTGAAGTGTTGACTGAAACCCTTTTGCCTTTAAATTTCAAAGTCAGCAAGTTCCCAGTAATCTAGGTGCTCTTGGCAGCTGCATGGCCGGTGGCGAGAACTTGGATTTTATTTTGGTTGGGTTTGTATGAAACTGAAGGTTGGAAGAAGAGGGGGTCTGATATCATATTTGCATGGCATAACCATCTCAGAGCAGTCACAATTTTAAATGCTACCGTCAAATAAATGCTGATACCCACAGATATTTTCTCTTAAGGACAGCTTTGGACCTCATATGCTCATAGTTTCTCTTACTGCTCATGCTGCATAGTCCAGTCAAAAGCAGAGAATCCAGATGAGCTCTTTCTGTCTGTTATTTTATAGGTGACAATGCACTAATTTCCCTGGTTAACCTTTGAGCCTCTTTGCTGTAACTTACTCCCGGAAATGCTATAAATGGAAACTAATGGGTCAGGAGGGATAGGACTGACACCAGCAAACTCACATCATACACAAGCTGAGGTTTGACAAAAGGACAGTACCAGATGTGAAGAGCCAGTGCCAGAGAGGCTTGTTCCTCTTTGTTGCTCTTGGACAGGGTGTCTCTGTATATGCATCTGTGTGTATGATCTAAGGCTGGCCAGGGGCTAAGAGATGCAAGCCCAGTGAACCCAGCTGTGTCAGGGTGTTAAATCAAGACACTTCTCTCAGATGCACTGCTATAGCTGCCAAAATATGTCTAAGGGTCAGGCAGCCTGTTTAACCCAGATGCTCAAGAGCTAAAACAACGTGTGTGCCTCAGTAGCAAGAAGTGAAAGGGGTCCTAATAACAGCCACACGCTTACTCTGCTGCTGTCTGTCTTCTCTACAGTGGGCATTCTGCTTGCGTGAGAGAGACGCCCAGCGCACTTGAGACATTTTACATCTGCCGGTGAATAAACAAACACTAGAAGTATAGGATTCAAAACAGAACCACAGCCATTTACAGAACTCTCCCTGTGGTCACTTCCTCTGCTTTTTGCACATCTGCCAGGGTTGGCCCAGCCTACTCTAAAACATCTGGCTCCTGCCATATCAGATTGCAGTTAGGACTCCACCAAGCTCTGGGATAGATTGCTGAGGCCTGACAAAAGACATCATCTCTTCCTTGTTTTTGTGTTAGTTATGATGGTCCAAAAGTTCTGCACTGTCTGCAGATATTGCTGGTCCCATACATAATGAATTCAGAAAAGTATAAGTAATGCAGGAGGATTCCATTATTTTATCCTATGCCTATATGATACAATGGCTATCTTCTTTCCTCTGGCCCACACCACTATTAGCTACAGGGAAACATTCACTTACAGCAGGTGCCCAAGTGGGAATGCTGGGAAAATACATTAACAGAGAAGGTCTATGTATGCCGTGATGGTTAACATAATCAACTGCTGCAGATCTACAGCTAGCGAAAAACCTGTCTCAGCCTCTACCCAGGTTCTTTCTCCATTGGCACCACAAATTATTTTCTACTTGGCTGTTTCTCAACCTTAACTGCCAGAGTCAAGTGTGGAGTCCTGGAGACCACTATGAATTTGTAGTGCTAGCAAGAAGGAGAATTATCTTTCTCTTTGTGGTTGAAGCACTTCATCTAGGAATTACTGAGACAAAAAAATATGGAGCTACATGAGACCCTTTCACAGAGTCATATTTCTGAGTAGTTAAAACGTAAACAGTTCCTTTCAATACCCATATCTTTTTCCACAGCTTAATGTGGTCACCACTTATCCACTTTGTTAGTTTAATAAGGAAGGAGTCTGCTTTGGATACAGTCCACGACAAAGATAACCTTCTCCTTTTACAAGTTGGGAGACTGAGTAAATAAAAAAGAGAACATACTCATCCTCCAAACTGATGGTTTTTCTCCCTGATCCCTTACTTATCTGGTTGTTCCATTACTTTTTTCTTTCATGTGCTAAGCAGGGCAGCTTCCCAATTTAGATAGTTTTTGTATTAGTCAGTAATGTTCATCTTCAGAATTTCAATTTTTTTTTTTTTTTTTTGCAGAAGTTTCTAACTTTTCTCCTTCCCCTCATTTTCTGTGTACCATGTGTACTGGCTAGAAGTGAGATGATAGTGCTTGCAAGGCAGAGGTGATTCACAGACAAAATTGATCCCAGTTTGTATTTGCAGTCTCATCTCTGGAGGAAGTGCTACAAACAACTTTGAGAAGATCCTATTAAGATACTAAACAAAGTTCCAAGGTGTAAAAAAAAAAAGCAGAGAAAGAGACTTAGAAAAATTAGAAAGAAAAGTGACATAACCATTAATATTGGAACAGAGAAAATAAAGCATAACTTCTGTGAATGCTAGTCAGTTTATTCCAGGAAAATGAGATCTCCTGGGAGGAAGGAGGCCTGGAAAGCACTCAAGTCAGAGTTAGGGATGATAGTGAACAGCGAATTAAGGTAAACTGGAAAAGTAATGTGCCAGCCAAAAAGCCAGAGCTACAATGTGGTTTGGTTTGGTTTGGTTTTGTTTTGTTTTACAGAGAAGTAAAGTATCATGCTTTCATCATCATATTTTGCATCATACTTTATGATTTAACCAATTTGGGAGCCTCAATATAAGCAAAACAATAATAAACTGAAGAAGTTCCAATAAGGGAAAAGGGAGAGAGAAATAATTAAGAACCTGGTAAGTGAAACTACTAGTTAATTTACCTATAGGATAATTTGTTCCAATTTCCCACTAGCATTTTCCCCTCAGTGATTACATCCTGATCTTGGGTCACTACTGGATAATTTGCTGTTATATGCAGTCCCTTTGGAGTGGCAAATTAACCAGAGTGTACGGTATATGAGGAAAAGAGAGGTTAACAAAATCTCAGTAACTATGGGAGGTGGAAGGAGAATATTCAAAGGCTGTCAATTTAGAAAGGAAAGTGTTCTGGATGTTTCAGAAAGCGGGAGTAATAGGATGAAACAAAGCAAAAGAGGAGTTCAGGCTACACAGGAGAAATTTCTTAGTAATAAGGTCATTTAAATCCTTAAATTGTCTCCCATGGGAAGTGGCAAAATTCTGCCACTGGAGTTATTTAAAAGTAGGCATCATTTACATAGCATCAGAAAATGCTCTGTATAGAATGGCTGGAGAATGGGAAGAATGGGCTGGAACATGAAAGACATCTTTTTCATCTCTAATCTCTATGTTTCTTTGTGGCAGGCTGTTTTCCCCATTCACCCTTCCCTGTGCATGGCATTCTGGTCATTTTCCTGACAAGGATACATTGATTTGATTAGGCAGCTAGAAAGACAGTGGTTTGAAAATGGTCAGCTCCAAGCGTGCTGGAAGAATAGTTGGGCACTGGTGCTTTCCATGTAAGTGAAAAAATGTTACTGTAGGATCCCATGAATGGTAAGAATGGTTTCAGAGCCTTGTGCTGGAGTCTGAAAGGCAACTTGGAAAATATTTCCGGAGCGGCTCCTTGCAGCCTTCGATACTTGGATTAGGTTTCTGAAATTCTGAAGGAATCTTTTGCTTTTTTTCCCCCTTCTGTGCATTTTTGGTGCTGAGCTTTTTCCGGTTTTCCCACACTCCTGCCTGTCACAGAGCAGAAACCACAAAAATGCAGCAAAGTAAAGTCTGTCCAAGGATAAACATTTCCTCTGCCAACAAGTGAGCACAGCATACCGGCATCTTCAAATACACATCCTTGCTGCCCAGCAAAGGAACCCACTGATACCGCCTGTCACCTGTACTAACATGAGCCACCCCGGTACAGAATCAGATGGCAAAATCCCCTGCACAAACCTGGCAGTCTTGATACTCAACATCTGCACTTGTTGAGTTGACTAACCCTGCTCACATCTTGTTTTCTTTTGAGTGGTTTTCAGAAATGCATTTAGGACATGATTTATAAGGCAGGCACAGTGCATACAGGATATGTACAGCTTCTCCAACACAGCTTAGTCAACACACCTCAAACATACTTTGCTGTCCTAGTCTTGCTCCTTGCATCATCAATGCACTTCAAGCACTTGCTCTCTGCATCATCAGTACTCCTAAGCACTTCAGTAGAATGTAAATTGGTTATTTTTTATTAAAGCCCTGTTATTAAATGAGGAAGGGGATGTGAAGGGTCAGCAAACCTGGCAAGAATCAGATCTAAGAGACCTCCAGGACTCTGCAGAACTCATGGAGGCAATAATGAATGTGGCTTCCTCCCACCAACGTTCAGAGCATAAGCATGACCAAAGGTGGCTAAGGGAAAGATGAGGAGAGGTTTAAAAGATGACACTTTCTAATCTTCAGGAGACAAATAAAAGAGGACATGACAGAGAAATCTAATAGCAACTGGCAATAAAATAAATTCAGCCTGAAATAAATCCAGCCCTCCCATTTATTCTCTCACAACACATTAATAAGGGGCTATTCCAATGAAAAAGAAAGAAAACCTATTAAACACTAATAAAAAGGATTTTTTTTTCCCCCCCACACACCACATACTTAACTTGTAGAACTCTCTCCCACAACACAGCAGTAAAGCCAAAAAGGTTAAAAGGTTCAGAACAGAAAGAAAGAAAGCGGCTAAAAAGAAAGACCTACAAAGGATGGAGGATGGGATCCACCTCCAAGGAGGAATATTCCGCACTGGTCCGGACCTGCAGGGAGCAAACCAGGAAAGCCAACACAGCGACTGAACTCCAACTAGCTTCGAGCATCAAGGATAATACAAAGTTCTTTTTTAGATGTGTGTGGAGGTGGAGGAAAAGCAAGGACAACATTGGACCCCTGCTAAACCAGATGGGACAACTGACAACCGCCGCCCAGGAAAAAGGCAACCTACTAAATGGGTACTTTGCGTCAGTCTTTCATCAGTCCCATGGGACGCCCCTGCCCATTACGGGGCAGGAAGGCCTGGGTGAGGGAGATTCCTTGCCCTCCACCAATGCTGACCTTGTGAAGGAACACTGTGAGGCTGGACACCTAAATCAGTCAGCCCTGACAATCCAGACCCCAGTGTACTCAAGCAGCTGGCTAGCATCATAGCTCAGCCCCTGGCACAGATCTTTGAGAACTTCTGGTGCTCTGGTGAAGTGCCTGAAGATTGGAAGAAGGCCAATGTGGTGCCTATCTTCAAGAAAGGGAGGAAAGTGGATCCGGCAAACTACAGGCCCATCAGCCTGACCTCTATCCCGGGAAAGGTCTTAGAAAAGTTTATCGAAGAGGCCATTCTTAATGGACTGGCCAATGGCAACACCCTGAGGGATAGCCAGCACAGGTTTGTTGCGGGTAGGTCTTGATTAACCAATCTTATTTCCTTTTATGACCAGGTGACCTATATCACCTGGACAAGGGAGAGGAGTTTGATGTCGTATATCTTGACTTCAAAAAAGCCTTCGATCTGGTATCCCATGATCACCTTTTGGCAAAAATGGCCAACCGCAGCCTCAGGTCCACCACAATCCGCTGGCTGGGGAATTGGCTCCATGGTCGGACCTAGAGGGTGGTGGTTGATGGAAATCAATCGTCATGGTGCCCTGTGATCAGTGGGGTCCCTCAAGGCTCTGTCCTCAGACCTATATTGTTCAACATCTTCATTAACGATGTGGACATTGGAGTCAGAAGTGGACTGGCCAAGTTTGCCGATGATACCAAACTTTGGGGTAAAGCATCCACACCTGAGGACAGGAGGACAATCCAGGCTGACCTTGAGAGGCTCAGGAAATAGGCAGACAAGAACCTGATGGTGTTTAACACCGAAAGATGCAAAGTTCTCCACCTTAGGAAGAAACACCTTCAGCATCCTTATAGGCTCAGCAGTGCTATGCTGGCTAGCACTACAGATGAAAGGGACTTGGGGGTCATGATTGAACACAAGATGAACACCAGCCTTCAATGTGATGCTGCGGCTAGTAAAGCGAGCAAAATGCTGGCTTGCATCCATGGATGCTTCTCAAGCAAATCCCAGGACATCATTCTCCCATTGTACTCGGCCTTGGTGAGGCCGCAGCTAGAGTACTGCATTCAGTTTTGGGCTCCACAATTAAAAAAGGATGTCAAGAAGCTTGAGAGAGTCCAGAGAAGAGCCACGCACACGATCAGAGGTCAGGAAAACAGACCTTACGACGACAGGCTGAGAGCTATGGGACTCTCCAGCCTGGAAAAACGCAGGCTCAGGGGGCGATCTGATGGCCACCTATAGGTTTATCAGGGGTGTTCACCAGGATCTGGGGGAACGTTTTTTCACCAGAGCGCCCCAAGAGATGACAAGGTCGACAGGTTATAAACTCCTGCAAGACCGTTTCAGGCTGGACATAAGGAAGAATTTCTGTACTGTCCAAGTCCCCAAGGTCTAGAATAGCCTGCCGTTGGAGGCGATTCAAGCACCTACTTTGAACTCCTTCAAGAGAAATTTGGATGTTTGTCTTGCTGGTATCCTATGACCTCAGCTGACTTCCCGCCCCTGGGGCAGGGGGCTGGACTCAATGATCTTCTGAGGTCCCTTCCAGCCCTAATGTCTATGAAATCTATGAACAGAATTGGACATATACGTAGCTAATAAGAATCTCCCTTAGAGGTATTAGATAGGATCTAAAGACTATAAAGCAGAGTTGGCCAACCTGCAGCACACGTGCCACAAGTGGCATGGGCAGCCTCTGTGTGGCATGCAACAGATCAAGGGCAGAAGTAGACAGCAGATCAAGGACAGGAGCACAGGGCAGGAAGTAGACAGTAGATCAGGAGATTGGACAGGGAGCTCAGAGTAGGGAGCAGAAAGTCCAGAAGCACACTGAGCAGAGGAAGGGGATTGGAATTGCACTTAGGGAGGGTGTGGGGATAATTTGTGGCACACTTGCCAAAGAGACTGGACCCCACTGCTATAAAGCATAAACACCCTCTTGGTTTATGGCATAAGCCTGCCACTAATGGAAGAGGTTAAGAAGAATTCCCTTGGTTTTTTAATGTTACTCATATTAAGTCATTACCAACTTCTTGAGTCTTTCTTTGACCTCTTTGGTACTGAGCAATGGCAGAGACCAGACTAGATGGAGAACTGAATTAATTTTGCAGTTCGTATGTCTTCCTGTTTGTATGAAGTTACATTCTTTGTTGTAAAGACTATTGTAAAGATACAAATAATCCAATAAAGCCAGGCTGTTCCAGGTACCCAACAATGGAAGACACATCCTGAAATATATATACTCAAGTCACTTGCAGGCAAAATTTTCTTTCTTGATATCTCTGGTCTGAGCTGCCCCTACTTCTTGCCATGGAAAGGAAGAGAGAAAAACTTACTTGGAAATCCTCTGGGCTGCCACCTTTCTGATCACTGCTTGCCTGAGGTTGGCTGGGGGCTTAGGAACCAGGTGAGAAGGTGTACTCTGGGATGGCATGATTTTGTGCAGACTGACCGCCTTCTGGATGCTGGAACTGGCACTTGACATCTTGCGGGCACCAGAACTAGCTGGCACAGATATATGGCTGGAGCTGGCTGGTGGATGGTTGGCAAAGAGAGCCTGGAGAAACAGAAAACAAAACAAAAAAACCCTGGGATTTATTTCTTCTTTGCAACTGTGCTGGAAATGCCTATGAGGTGATAGGAGCCGTTTCTGGAAGCAGAGAACCTCTCCAGGTGAAAGGACCACTAATACTCCCCACAATTACAGAGATCTAGAAGCAACCCAAGAGAAAAGTGGAAAACTGCTGGGTGGCTGCTTGGAGTCTGGAGTTTAAAGTAAAAACAGTTTTTACAGAAGAATTCTACAGCTTGGAAAGGGAAGTTACAGCTGTTCTCTTAAGATGTGTTGTCCATGCACACATTCTCACGTGTTTATGCTCAGCCCTTGAGCCTTTTGACTAGAGACTTTTTTTATTTAGTAGTATCATACAAGCTAGTCTGATCCCTACCCTACTCTTCCTCCCCCCGCCCCAAAAGAGGATAAAGGGCTAAGCACATGCCCCAGCTTCTCAGTTCCTCTTAACTACAGTTTCACAGGCAGACTCCGAAGAGGAAGAGAAGGAAGGAAACAACAAATGTGTGTGTGGACAATGCATCACAAAGTAGTCCACTTATCAAGTAACTTCCTCTTCTTCTTTTGAGTAGTTATTCACACTCATGCACACATGCATGCACAGACGAATCCAAAATAATATCCACAACACCTGGAAATGGGATTTGAAATCTCCTGATCTATCAAAGACAATGTCATTTCAGGAGGCTTCCACAACTGCACAGTGCTTCCTTCCTTTTTCGTGTCCTTGTGACAAGGTATTTAGCAGAATTCGCAGATTGGTTGGAATCCAACAGGGCTGCACCGTCCCCTTTTAGATGTTTCTGCTATGGCCTTGAACTTGTAACCTCTGGGCTGTCAACCATGTGTCTTAGCAACCACCATCTCAGCCCATGCATAAAGATTAGTTACAACAGAGGATGTTAACTGGGGGTGTGCATACCCCCAGGGGTACCTGAGAAGGTCCTAGGGGTTACACATGGGAAGGCGGGGATGGAGTGCCACCGGAGGTACACTGCTCCATGTCCAGCTGCCGGGGGTACACTGACCCCAAAAGGTTGAATACCCCTGAGTTACAACAAAGGCCAACCTCCAAAATGCTGCTTTGCAAAGGTCTGGCCTGGAGACCCTCTCAGAAGGAAGGAGCAGAGGTAGCCTAAGCCCTGCTAGAATCACATCAGACTGGTCTACTTTTGCCAGTTAAGATAAATGAAAATCCAGCTGGACAGTGTCTGGGAAGAAACAGCTAATCCTGTGGATTCATAGATTCATACATGTTAAGGGTTGGAAGGGACCTCACAAGATTAATCAGGTCTAGTCCCCTTGCACTTGGGCAGGAAAGACTGCTGGGATCAGATGACCCCAGCAACATGGGAGTCTAGACGTTTTTTGAAGATCACCAAGCTGGGTAACTACCACCTCTGGGGGAGTCTGTTTCAGACCCTCAGCACTCGACTTGTAAAGAAGTTTCTCCTTACGTCCAATTTGAAGCGATCTTCAATCAGTTTGTGCTCATTATTTCTGGTCTTCCCCTGGGGTGCCTTGGTGAACAGATGCTCCCCCAGGCCCTGATGTACATTCCTAATATACTTTTAGGCTGCCACCAAGTCCCTTCCAACTCTTCTCTTCTCTAGGCTGAACAGTCCCAAGTCTTTCAGCCTCTCCTTGTATGACCTGCTCTCTAGACTTCTAATCATGTGCATGGCCCTGCTTTTGGACTCTCTTGAACTTCTCCACATCATTCTTGAAGTGCAATTCCCAGAACTGGACACAGTACTCCAGCTGTGGTCTCACCAAGGCCAAATAGAGCAGGAGGATGACATCCTTAGTCTTGCTTGAGATGTATCAGTAGATGCATGCCAGTGTTTGATTCTCTCTGCCAGCTATGGATCTCTCAGCTATGGCCACAAACAGGCATGGGACCTTCTAAAGGTTCCAAAAAGACAACAGATCCAAGCTCTCTTCACATATCCAATGTGTCAAAGGTGGTCTCAAGATCCTGAATTGTGCAGCTTTAGGCAAAAGACTGCTGGCCAAGGTGCAGCTCA